CCTCCCTGCCTCTTTCTCCATTCTCGAGACCTCAACATCTTAAGGACGAGAAGCAGGAAAGGAAAAGACCAGCGGCCGTGAGCCATCATGTACCTCTGTTGTGCACAGCTGTCCGCATAGTTTGACGCACAACTCTCTCATTGAACTCCACAAGAATCAATGAACAGCTGCTGGTGTTTCCCGGGCCTATGTAGTTGTATTTAGTGTAGAAAGCGAGAGAGTAAGACCGCGACATGAAATAAATGAGTTCGTCTTTGTTGTTGATAGGGAGAGAGACTCTTTGGTATACACGGGATTTGTTGTGATTGAGAAAGAAAAATCAGAGAGTGGAAAAATAAGGAGTTAGTGTGCTGAGGTGGGTGACGGGGAGGCTGGTAGAGAGAAGAGTGAATTAATTCTGTTATAAAATTGAAGTACAATGCTGGAGCGCGGAGCGAAACGAGCCGACAAAAAGTTCATCGCGACTGGGTTAAAATTTCTTTTGTGATATTAATGAATAGTTTTTATTACATGCCTCGTTTGCAAGCCAAGCGCTGTTTGATTAATTCTGTCATAGATGAACTGTCAAGAAGTACTGGAAGGGTGAATGTTAATTATTTCTCTTTTATTTATTGAAAGTCTAAGTGTACTTCGATGAATATAGGAGAAAGGGGACTGTTTCATGGCGTCACAATAGAGAGAAAATAAGAAGTTGGAGCATTTGTAATTATAATGGTCTTATTTACGCTGGCCATAAATTGTTGTGTATCTTTTTGTCTTGTTTTTAGTGTACATAATTGAAACGTTTTACGATAAGTGAGAAAGTTTACTGGTGTCCGTGCTGTTGATTAATGATTAGGGTTTTGTTTCAAATTGGGATGCGGGGGAGGGGGTGGAGAGAGAGAGAGACACAGAGACACAGAGAGAGAGAGACAGAGAGAGAGAGACAGAGAGAGAGACAGAGAGAGACTCAGGGAGACAGATTGTGTGTGAGAGAGAGAGAGAGACAGAGACACAGAGAGAGAGAGAGACAGAGAGAGAGACAGAGAGAGAGAAAGAAAGAAAAACAGAAAGAAATCCCCCCCTTTTTGTCACCCCCCCTCACTCC